GGGGCGCGCTTGAGAGTAGTGTTCTTCTTCTGCTACCATTGGTACCGCAGATTTGATGTGTATCTGCTGTCTACCAGTCCCTGAGGTCTGGGATCAGCACCTATTCTCCACTTCTGTTTTGGCTGCATGGAAGACTGGAGCTCTTTCTCTTTCTCCCTTCCCTTCCCTTCCCTTCCCCTTCCTTCCTTCCCTCTACCTCTTTGTCTCTCTCTTCATCCCTTTCTTCCCTTCTCCTCCCCTTCACATTTCCTCCCTCCCCTTTCCCTTCCTCCTTTCTTTCTTCCTTCAACCCTTTCTTCCCTTTTCCTTTCTTCCCTCTTCATCTTTCTCTTCATCCCTTTCTTCTCCTCTACTTTTCTTTCTTTCCTTCCTCCCTCCCTCTTTCCCTTCCTCCTTTCTTTCTTCCTTCATCCCCTCCCTTCCCTTTCCCTCCTTCCTTCCCTCTTCCTCTCTTCATCCCTTTCTTCCTTTCTCACCTTCACCCTTCCTTCTTTCCTTCTTTCCTCCCTCCCTCCCAAAATCATGCATGGGTAAAAGATCAGCATGCAAGATGGACCAATGGATTTTAATATAACCGAGTACTAAAAGTTCATTGATACAGTTTAAGATTCCACATTGCAACTAATCTTTAAGAAACTGCCAGTTATTGTGTCCTGGTGTGGTATCAAAGAAGAATATCCACAATCATCTGAAAAGGCTGTTAAAATACTCCTCCCTTTCCCGGCTATATATTTGTGTGAGGCTGGATTTTCTTAATCAACCAGAACAATATATTGCAACAGATTGATTGCAGAAGCAGATAGGAGAACCCAGCTGTCTTCTATTAAGCCAGACATTAAAGAGTTTTGCAAAAATATAAAACAATGCCACTCACTTTGGGGGGGGGGATAGTTTTTTTTTAATGTAAATATTTATATTAACATGTAATGGATTTATTTTTATTATTTTAAAATGCATTAATAAATACCATTTTCTCAGTTTTAATTTCTAATATGGCAAATATCGATAGATACATGCCACATAAACAAAAGCTTTTTGGGGTCCTCGGTATTTTTTTAGAATGTAAAGTTTGAGACCAAAAGGTTGGTAGGACCACTGACCTAGTGTACATAGTCTCCAAATAAGTGGATCTGAAAAATACTTTTAAATATTAAAATTAATATAATGCCCATTTTATTTTTTATGGTCATTGATCAGTGTTCAAGTTCATCAACTTAATGGACAACACTCAACAACAATATAACTTTCAAATAAAATTAGAGAAAATAATCCTTAATGACCAAACAAATTATTATTCTATGTAGCTGTTTACTCCATTCTTCTCTAAACAATGAGACTGAGCTAATAAGCAGCTTTTTGTTTAATGCAAACTAGTAAAATTCTGGTATGGAGGAAGATCCTTCATTACTGACAGAATAATATGTTGTGCGTGGAATGATTAAAATATAAATTTAAATATACATTTAAAGTATAAGTCTGCTCCCTTGAATTGAATGTGATTCCTGATAGTTTCATAGATATTGCTGCACACTTTTCTTGGCAAATAATATTGAAGTCCTAACTCCCTGGATATTTTTTTCCCTAATTCCAAGTCTACTCTAGGATATCCTGGTGGTCTCCCATCCAAATCAGGTCCTGCTCATTTTTTTCGAAATCAGATAAAGTGAGTTGGGTGCTGCCAACCATTGAGGCATAAAAAGACACGACTTAAACCAAATAAAATCACAGCTCTTGAACTAACTTTCTTTTTGCCACAAATTATGCTGAAGAATATTGAAGGGCAGGTTTGACTTCAGCTACTTTGTTTTCGCTTTAAGATCTTCTGGGTGGAGAAATAGTCATTCGATTGCCTTTTCTTGCTCCTTTTCTCTTTGGGTGAATAAAATAGAGATTTTTTTTTAAAGGCTTCTCATTCAGAGCATTTCAAACGGAGGAAAAGAGAGCGTTTGTTTTCCTGGAAAACAGGATGAAAGATTATTTTTTAAATGTTTCAAAAAGGCTTTTCGGGGAGCTACTTTGGGACAGAAAGAAAATAGGGATTCTGGGACTTTTTTTAGAAGCATATTTCAAAGTCAGAAAGACCGAAAAGATTTTAGCCTGCGGCGGCTTCTCGCTACCGATTGGCTACTGCTGACTGACGTCATAATGGATTTATTCCGTCAACGATCAGAACTCGTGTTCCTTTAAATTGGATTGAGCCCCAAAGATTTGTATAGAAATTATGCAGTTTTTCAGAACTGGATTTTAACGAAAGCAGGATTTTAAAATTAGTATTAACGATAATAGTCATAAGTTCAAAATTTAACTCCAGTGAAATTTTTAAAGACCACTTTGGGGAGATTACGACTATTTTGGAATACTTTAAAAAAATACTGTTTTTTTTTTTAAAGGGAAAGAAACAAAGAAGTTCAAAAACAGCTTTTCGTTGTTTTAAAATAATTGGATTCCCCCATATATTTTTTAAAAGTATTCTTTAAAAAAAAAAACACCCTCCAAAATATTCGCAATAGTATCGCGTGCGTACTTTGAATATACATCTTACTACTTTTATAAAAAACAAAACCTTTAATTGAATCATATACACACACGCCCTGGCGCCCCCCACTTTCTTAAAAAAAAAAACACTTCGAATCACTCAGGAAAGACAATCCGAATTGCCCCAGGCAGTTTCCCATCCCATTTTTAGATCGATGGGCGACAAAGGAACGAATGAGAGGAAACCGGAGGATGATCCACTGACTTCACCCGAGTCTTTTTCGCTCCTCCTGCCTTGTGATCTTATTTTTTAGACCTGCCAAACAACCCTGCGTAAAGTCGTCTTTGCTGTTGAAGGGGTTCTGGATTTTCGAAGTTCAGCCGAAGTTGGAGGAGTGGAAAAAAGGAGGTCTAGAAAGCCGTAGCGCTCCGGATTTAGGGAGTCTTTGGTGCCGGAGAAAAGCGGCGAGAATCCGCGGCTGACCGCCCCCCCCCCCGCCCCCGACCGTCTCGTAGTAAGTACGG